TAATTCATGTATGCAACTACGAGAAGTACCCATTGAAATTGCCGATAATGAGGATGATAACAAGCAGCGTGGCATCACATTGAACTCTCGCATTGCAATCAGTCACTTGGCATTTTTTAATGGTACTTTCGTAGCAAGTAGACACAGGGGGAAGCAGTGGCCGAGGCGTTAGAACACTGGACAAAAACCAATGGCAAAACCAAAGTTTCTTTCCATTTTTGCACTGCGCACATGTAGATGCCAGACGTACGACAAATTATAGAGAGCTAAGTGGGTGCAGGGGGGAAGAGACACTTATTCAAAAGGTGGATACGGGGGGGGAGGTAATCAAAGCATTAGAACACGGGACAAAAAAACAACGAAACAACAAAGTTTCTCCCCATCTTTGCACTACTCACATGCGGATGAAAGACGTAATCTCGGAGAGTGTGAGGATGAACAAGACGATGACACACAAGAACACATAAGTTTCGAGAAGACTAGAAAAAGAATAGAAACAATACAATTGTACGATCGACAACGTCGATCGCCTTCTAGTTCTCATTCTCGAGCGCGCTCTCGTTCACGTGAAGCTGCTGAGAAAAAATACTCTGGAAGAAAACAAGATAACGACGGATATGAAGAGAATACTGTTCGTTGTTTAATCAAAATGCAACAATTCAACGGCACATGGAATTTAAACAAAGAGCATTTAAAAAAGTTTCTAAATGTAAGTGATAATCAGTATCAATAGATCATAGCTTTGGAAGAAGATAGAGTCATTCTATCATCAATTATTGTTCTTGTCCTATTGAAAAAACTATATCAGAACGACGAACAGCTGTGGAAGCCAAGTGTTGATAAAACAAATAAATATTTGTTGAAACATTACGTAAGTAAAGACAAATTGGTTAAACTGATTGAAATTATTACAAATATTTTTTAGACAGAATTTGTGTTTTTACCACGATAGTATGTACAAATAGAAAAGAAATAGTTTTAAATATACATATACAAACTAGAACACTTCTAAATCAACACGAAATAACTTGAGATTTTTTGAATAAATAAAACAAGACTAAATACACGGATCTGCTTAAAAGCTATTTGTCTACAATGATGGAACCCTGAGGAGTGATTTGATGAATTATTTTCATTAAATCTATCCAGGTTAATAGTATCATCCGTCAACATAGCTGCTTGAAATGTCAATTTACATAAACCCAGATGAAATTAGACTGTTTCGATATAATTTTCATCCGAAAATACGAAAAATATGGATATAATAATAGTAAAAGAGAAATTTAAATGATATCAAAAGTAGATGAAATCCTGGAAGAAAAAAACAGTTTTACAGACTAAATCAACAGCTGATCGTTACTTTATGTTGTTTAAAAAGACTTTGGAAGCAAAAGGATTCCTTGAAACAATGGGTTTGCATAAAGATACCGATACTAATATTATCCTCAATTTCAAAAAAGGGTCTAGTCCCTACACCTGGACTGAAGTGCAAACTCTTCACGGAGAGTAAGCGTGTAAAATGACCTAACATCAGGCCAGTCAATCGGGACCAGGTTTTTCTTTTTATCGGTTTAGAAAAATCATAAATAAAGCCTATTAATCTACAGTAGACCTTAGAAGTACAAAAATAAGGTGCTCATAAACTGTTCCCACCCTCCAAAAGTAATCATTTTTCATAGATCTCAGTATTTTTCAATTTTCTCTAAAACTATAAAATAGTTACGTTTAGTTGAAGTACTAGTGAAAGGTAAATGTCTGCTGCACAAAATCCTACATGAGATCACATTAAAACCGAGGATAAAATTGAAAAGTCAATCTTTTAGAATGGGCAATTTTTCGAGTGTAGGCTTATAAAATTACTACTATCATATACTAGTGCACTTTGTCGAGTCAATAATAATTCTGTATTGTCTTATATATGTCGTATTGAAGTTAGCATGTTTATCGAGGTTACAACTTCTATAAACATACGTTATTGAACTTATAGCGTCGATAAGATAGGTTTATCGAAGTTGTCTTTATTAAGCTAAATGGTAATTAATTCATTATTTGATGATAAATCACCGTATCGATGATGAAGATGCTAAAATTCTGGCAGATGCCTTGAAAGTAAATCGAACTCTCACTAGTCTTAATCTTCAATTGAACCAAATATCTGACAAAGGAGGTGAAGCAATCGCCGATGCATTGAAAGTAAATCGAACTCTCACCACTCTTTATCTTTGGCACAACAAAATATCTGTCAAAGGAGGTGAGGCAATCGCCGATGCATTGAAAGTAAATCAAACCCTCACCAGTCTTAATCTTGCAGGGAACGAAATATCTGACAAAGGAGGTGAAGCAATCGCCGCTGCATTGAAAGTAAATCGAACTCTCACCAGTCTTGATCTTGAATCGAACCAAATATCTGACAAAGGAGCTGAAGCAATCGCCGATGCATTGAAAGTAAATCGAACTCTCACCAGTCTTCGACTTGGGAACAACAAAATATCTGATAAGTGTAACATTAAACTTGAATACGCATCTAGAACGAATAAGGCTCTTACTCTTTATCTCGATGAAATAAGTTTGGTTTCGAGAATCCGATCTAAACTCTTCTAGCTGTTGATGTCATGAACAGCAGAGTTCCAACAAAAGGGTCAATCTTTCTATTTTATTGTATTGATGTTGTTTATCCTAACAATGAGATGCGGAACGAACTACTGTGACTATTGAAGTCAGGACATTAAGGATTATTATGTAGAGCATTGTGGCCTGTTTAAAAGTGTGTTGTAGATACTACCTGTTTACACAACAGTCTAGAAAGGAAGAAGGAAAGAACTGGAACGAACCAAATACTTTAAAGATGTTTGGCTAGTTTGTATTATAGGTTGTATTATCATTATAGAATGTTATTCTAATGCAACTAGTAGTGAGTATACGATAACAAACTGGCGGAAAAATTATAAATGTATACACCATATGAAGGGATTCAGCATCGTATGAGTCATTCTCGTATAGCTTTCATTATATCAAGCACTATACTCTATATTCACTATGAGCCATCATTTGAAGATTAATTAAAGTTCAAAAAAATATTTCTTCATTTTCGGACATTAGTTATAGAAGAAATAAAGCGAATATTGGAAAAACTAACTTGAGATGTGTCATCTTTCATCCCGACTCTTGCGATCCATCTTTTCCCGAAAAGGAGTGACTAACTCGAGCGTAAAAAGAGTCTAGAAATAGAAAGCCAACGGCCTTTTGGGTAGATTGGAAAGTCGAAGTTGAATCTAAGAATATTCCTGACTTCAGTCAGGTGACAGTCTTCCATTATGTGTTTCAAAGGGAGGAGATTCGTATAATAGTATTTTCCTTACCTGATCAACTTTTTGATTTTTTCTGCGTTTAAACGT